CGAGGGGGGGAGCGTGGAGAGGGGCGGCGAGCGGCCGAACTGCTTTCTGGGAGTTGTAGTTCTGTTTTTCTAGGCAGAACACAGAGTCGCTATAGGAATGGTTCGGTCCACTCGTGACAGCTGTCCTCTCTTGCAACCCTTCCTTGCAACCCTTTCTCCGCGCGATCGCCAACTCCGTTGGGTCTAGGCTGGTCTTTGTGCGTAAGGTGGGCAGCACCAAGCCCCTAAACGCCTCCCCGGATGACAAACCTTCTAGCCCCCGAGTCCGGGAAGCCAGCTTGCCACTACCTGCTGTGTGACCTCCATGGAGGAGCTACCAGGGTTGCCTCGCGTTCTTCCTCGGGCACAGACAGAGGACAGTCGTGTCTGCCTCCGTACTTTCGGAGGGACAGGATGCTGTTGGCCTGCACGGGGTGGCCTGCTCCCCCATCTCTAATGTGAACAACTGTGGTTCCCTTACACTTGTCGTTTGCTAAACACCCTTGGCTTCAAGGCTCCACAAACCAATCGCCACCGAGAGGCCCTCCTGGATTAAAATTCTGGATTGATGTTTCTCTATCATTGATGTTGCTCACTCTCTCCCTCTCTGTTCTTCTCCCTCAAAAACAAATCAATAAAAACATATTGAACAATAAAAATAAAAAGCAAGCCCGGCCTGTGTGGCAATTTGGATTGAGCACTGTTCCAAGGACCAGGAACAGGTCGCAGGTACGATTCCCGGTCAGGGCTTATGCACGGGCTGCCAGCTCCATCCCCCGGTATGGGGCGTGCAGGAGGCAGCCAATGGGTGTTTCTCTATCATCGATGTTTCTCTCTCTCCCTCTCCCTTCCTGTCTCTCAAAAAAAAAAAAAATCAGGAACATGCTGGAGCTGCCCCTGCCCTATTGCAGGCTTCAGTTTCTGCAGCCGCCTCCTCATTTATTCAGCCCCTGAGCACCCGCACACAATGGGAGCAGAAGGCCGAATCCTCCCTCAAGGAGCTCCTAGTCTAGTGTGTGTGTTGGGGGGGGGGGGCACCTGGTCACTGTGTGGGTGTGAGACTGAGGGACCTGGGACACCTAACTCTGCCTGGGACATCCGTCAGGGCATCCTGGGGGTGGGTCTGCGCTGAGTCTGGAGTGTGCAGGGAATAACAGCCTAAAAGACACACAAACCCAACCACCACCACCAAGAAAGGAGGGCAGAGAGCCGTCCGTGTGGAGGAAACACTGAGGGTATAAAGGAAGGAAGGAAGGGGGCCTGGCAGGTGTGGCTCAGGGTTGAGCGTCGACCTATTAATCAGAAGGTCAGGGTTCGATTCCCAGTCAGGGCACATGCCCGGGTTGCAGGCTTGATCCCCAGTGTGGGGTGTGCAGGAGGCAGCCAATCAATGATTCTCTCTCATCAGTGATGTTTCTCTCTCTCTCCCTCTCCCTTCCTCTCTGAAATCAATAAAATCTATATTTTAAAAATAGAACAATTACAACATACGGCAATAGAAGTAATGGGAATGGCTTTGAGCCGTGACTGAGTAACACAGGGGTGACTTAAACATAGGTACTGTGATACCGGGACAGTCCATCTGAACACCTAGCCGGCTACCAAGTGACTAGCGGGCAGGGAGCGGCTACAGCGCGGAGACGCTGGACAAAAGGGATGATTCACATCCCGGGAGGCACGGAGCGAGATTTTATCACAGGACTCAGAATGGTCAGCAACTGAAAACTGATGAGTTGTTTATTTCTGGAATTTTCCACTTAATATTTTCAGACCACGGTTGACCGCAGGTAACTGAAACCAGGGGAAGAGAACTAGGGAATGAGAGGGGACCACTGGATGGCGTGCAGACACAGCCTGACACGGAGGAAACGCAGACTAGTCCAAGACTGACGCGGTGCCGCATGGGGGGGGGGGGGGGG